GGCAAGTTTACATATGTTTTGGGCCTGATCCAATCTAACTGAATTAATATGACGAGCCTAACCCAACAGACCTACCATTGTAAATAGAAGGCAAACCTATTGAATAACAATGATACTCACTTTCTCTACACAATCCCATTATTATAAGACAAATGTCAACTTTTTCAGTATAATTAGGTCAAGTGAATTTGAATTTTTTTTAAATAATAATAATTAAAACTATTGAAAAATTAATAAAAATAAAAAAATACGAATTGAAAACTAATAAAATTATTTTTAAAAATTCCAAACCAAATACAATGATTGATTTTTTTTTTTTTTTAATTTATTTTTTCCATCTTATGTTTTAGTCAAAAACTCACTTCCCAAATTACCTCTTAGTTTGATTGCCCCATATAGTCCGGTCAATCCCATTTGATGCACATGTTTAACAAATTTGTGATAAGCATTCATCATAGAATGAATGAGCTTCATATCAAACAATTGAACCAAACACTAATCCACATACTTAATCCATTCCTATCCAATCAAAGTTGGAACAATTGTAGGTCCTTGGGTGTTTATCACTTAAAATTAACACTAATGTATCTGATGCCATAGAGATCTTGGAGCTAAACAGAACAGAACCGGCTGAAGAAGCTCAACCGTGCACACAAATTTAATTTACGCTAAAATATATATCATATGTGCCACTATTATTTTTTCATTGTCACTCAATCATCGACACAAAAAATTATTTACATAACTAGTACACTTGCAGTAAAATAAGACTGCTATAACACTAAACATTGATCCCTGCAATTTAGTTCATAGGTGTCTGACATACATGTTATGTAACAAAAATCTCTTAATTCTGAACAGCAGATATATGAAGCTGATCATAAAAAAAGCTCAACTCAATCCAGCATAGAGAAAATAGATCAAATAATTGTAATATTCAGATGTAGACCGCGGCTCAAGTATGATGCTTTAGATTTATTAGACACAAGATAACTGCACCATCAAAGGAAACCTCATTGGGAGAGTTCTTTGACAAAATTTAAGCCAAGGCACAATTTGAGTGAACAATTAGCAACGAAGAAATACCCTTCGTAAGTTTTTCCATAGAAGGAAAATCACAGATGAAAGGGCTAGGAGGTGAAATCCTTCGTTTGGAATGTGGATTGATTTTTTAACTTTTTGATTATTTTAATCTGGAACTAAAAAGCCTTGTTTATGATGGACTTTTTGATTTCTTAACTTTTGTGAGAGAAAAAATAAAATGATTATTGTTTGGATGTGACATTTTATTTTATTAATTTTTTAGCTTATTTTATCTTTTTGTGACTATTTTAGCCAAAAAAACCCCAGACTTGTTCATACCAAACGAGTGCTATTAGAGCATCTCCAAGAGGCTTGCTATATCCTATTTTCAACCAAAGTAGCAAGCCAAAGCCAAAAAAGAGACCTCCAGCAGCCTCATCAGATCCTTCTACAATTTGATCCAAGCAACAGTTGCTAGCTACCTGAAGCTAGCAACTGTTCATGTGCTATATATTTTTTTATTCCTTTTTTTCTATGTATTAATGATGATCAAACTATTTACAAATTTATATATTAATATATATATATATATATATGAGTAAAGTTGAAAGAAATAATATTTTAAAGGGGATAGCTAAAGTAAAGAGTATTGCTGGAATGTGTATTGAAAAAAGGATTAGCTAAATTAATAAAGTGAAATTTTGGGTAGTTAATTTGGTGAGGATTGCTGGAGATGCTCTTACAGTGTGAAAGAAAGAGAAAAATGCTCTGCAAAATTCACATCTAGGCCTTGCGTGACTTTGGAAAAATGCTCTGCACTACATCCATTTTTCAAAGCCATTGCGAAAAGCCCTTATTTACTACTTGATAATAAACCTCCCAAACCCTCAAATAATACTATTTCCTATCTTAAAGCTTAGCTATACATTTACTACGCGCTGATTACCCCAAAAGTTGTAAATACATAACACTGTACCCAGAACTATTCTTATTAAAAGTTTTGGTTGAATAATAAAATCTAATACTAACAAAAAAGTCTCGAGAAATCCAATGAGCTTGAACTCAGTCTTTGCTAGCCGTTCTAACAACTAGTAATTGCCCAACAATCAGAACAGTAACCAGAAAACAATGTTTTCAATCTTGATAAATAAATAAACTCATAAATAAAATAGAAGCAACAGCAAAAAGAATTCATAGAAAGGAAACTCTAATTTAAAAAAAAAAAAACCCCAAGTATAGCATAATCTTGAATTTTTTTGTATCAAACGTTTCACAAAATCCATCCTATCTATATTATATGCTATGCCATGCCAAACACATTCATGTTTCTTTTGCAGGTAGCATAAGTTGGTAGTAAGTCATCCGAGATATTAGAGGCCCGGTTTGTAGTATTTATAAGTCAACTTGTTTAGTTTATTTGCTTAAAAAAAAATGTGGCTACTTGCTTGTTTAAATTATAATTTTTTTTTTTTTGTTGAACTTTTCAGCTTATTTGACCCAAAAAAAAAGAAGAAGGGTTTTTCTTCAGCTTCAATTTGCATTTTGTTTATTTATTGCTTATTTAAAACTCTTAAACATGTACGGACGAACGAGTCCATCTCTTTTGTCTTAATTCTAACGTTTGAGCGCATTGTGGATATTTGCAGGAAAAAAAAAAATATCTAACAACTTATTTAATTACATATGTTCTAAAAAAAAAAAAAATTTATAATAAATTATAAAAAAGTTGAGCAAAGAGATTTCTAACTTATTTTAAGTCTTTTATGCTAAATTTTTTTAAGGGTCCAGCTTGCCTCAAGTTGAGATCAAGACTGGACCCGTCCAGTTCGGTCCATGTGATCAATTTTTTGGGCCCGTTTGATAATTCGAACCGTTCAATGTGTAGAACTTGTTGAGTACTACATGCTTGTAAAAAATCACGTTGATCGGATATCAATAGCTATGTGATAAATGTGTAGAACTTGTTGAGTACTACATGCCTGTAAAAAATCACGTTGATCGGATATCAATAGCTATGTGATCAAATCAGTTTTGTATAAAAAAAATTGATGGTGAAACAATTAACGGTTGCTAAAAAACTGTTCTGTTCACATAACTATCAATATCCGATCAACGTGATTTTTTACAAGCATATAGTACTCGACGAGTTCTACACATTGAACGGTTCGCATTATCAAAACGAGACCCGTGGTGGGCCCCCACGGATCCAACAGTACGGTCCAGTCCGATCTTGAACTGGACCAAAGTCACTGCCTTTTTTTAAAACTACAGTTCATAAGAACTAGCTTATAAATTACACCAATAAATAGTTTATCTCTCCCCTTAGAGCATCTCTATCAGTCTCCCTAAACTCACCCTTTACCTATTTTAAGGGATTGAATGTTAGATAATGTCTCAATGGGACCACATAATTAAATGTGGTGTTATCATTTATAAGAAGCCTACAATTTAAGTGACTCAATTTAGTTAATAGGCTTAAGGGTATATGTGTTATGAACCTAATGTGTAGATACTAGTTGTATAATTTCTATTTCTATGAGGGGCAGAAATAGAAATTAAAACATATTGGTTAAAGTTGGTTTTCATTCCTTTTGAACTTCCACAACCTTTCAGTTTTGAAAATCAATAAATAGAAATTAAAACCAATAATGGTTAAAGTTGGTTTTTATTCCTTTTGAACTTCCACAACCTTTCATTTTTGAAAACCATTTACAACCTTTAAAAGGTTATGGTCCATATTCCTTCCCAAGTGGAAAAAAGAAGAAGTTTGCATGTGCTGTTGCTTTGCTTTACCTTCATAATAATTAAAAATATTATTTTAATAAAAGTGATTTAATGCAGGTGCTTTGTTTTCATAATAATTAAAAATATTATTTTTTTAAAAAAATAAGGAGTTTATTAAAAGAGATAGATGAAAAGTAATTTTTTAAATAAAAAATAATTTTTTTAATAATATTTTAAAACAATTTAAGTAATCTGCTAGAGATCCTTTTATCTAGGAGTAGATCTAACATGGCCTTAAAGGCTTGACAGTTCAGGCAATTTATACTATATTATCCTTGGGATAAATGCGAGTTGCTGGAGGGTAGTTGGCAGGATTTAGAGCAATTTAAGTTCTTCATGGACAAACGATGGCATCTTTGGCTACTTCACTTTTAATGACGGTTGTGCGTTTGTAGTACCAGTTAAAAGTTAAATTTTTATTTTTTATTTTTTTATTTAAAGGCATTTAAAAAGTTGATTTTCAATTATTGATGAAATTACAATTATATTTCTTATAAATCAAAATATGTTACATGAATGACGTTATAAATATTTTAAATTGAAAGAGAATAATTTAGTCATTTTATTATGATTTGACATCATAAATAAATATTAATTAAAAAAATTAAAAATAACTTTTTACATTATTTAAAAAAAAAAACCAAAAACTTGAATAAAAAAGCAAAAAAATCATTTTTTATCAACTTTTTAAAACATTGACAATTGCACAAACAGAGGTAATCTTCTCTAAATATAAGCACCAACAGAGAACTCGCTCAGTAGTAAGGTCTAGAGGTGCAACAATTAATCAAGTAATTAACCACTATTAAAGTCTAAACAAAGAAGAACAATCCCCCACACAGATTCAGGAGGATCTTCAAACTATCATATCATTATTACATCATGTAACTCACTCATTACGATAGGGTTTTAATCACCTCCTAATTCAAGCACATTACAATCATGGGTTTAGAGATTACATAAACATGCCGAAAGAGTACATAAATAATAGCAACAACATACATACAAGGATGATTGATAGCTTAACAAATCCATATAACATCTCAAAAATCCCCAAAAACCCAACTCAAAAAAATAAAAATTAACCAATAAAACAACACAACGACTAAGATAAAAACACACACTTACTAATAATAATTGACCAAGCTCCAAGTGTCTTAATTTTTTATTTGCTAATTTATAAATATTTTGTTTTATCTTCTGCAGCGAGTGATAGCAGAGCAACCTCTAGTGTAAGGATGAACAGGGCCTCTGGCCTCGTAACAGTTGTGGGTGTAGTAAGACCTACCAGAGCGAGGGGGGCATGGGATTCTATTGGCTGAGAGAGCACCGTACGAAATGTAGTAGTACCTCATTGTCCTCCAGAACAGTGACCTTCGACCCATTTCACCCTCTACGTCTCCTTCATCGTCGACTCCCAAGTTGCCGTCGTCGTAGAGTGACATGGCGGAAGACGGCCAACCGAGCGCCTCCGTCGTGAGCTGAATGCCGGTGCTGGTCTCATCGACCTCAGATCGAACATGTGTGCCGCACATGAGGAAGAGGCACAGAGTGATGAGCCTTGCCGCCATGGATGTCATATCAGGAGATCTCAGAAAATACCTTCATCAGCAGTACCCTGACTCCGCTGTAACTTCATCTCTCTCTCAGAAAATACCTTCATCAGCAGGAGCCTTATTCACTCCCTCAGTTGTTTCTGTGTACTTCTGGAGAGAGAGAGAGTAATGGTTGGATTGGAGTAGTGTAACTGTGTGGAAAGAAGGTGGGGGAGCAGAGTTTCACGTGTTGTGTTTGAGAGAGAGAGAGAGAGAGAGGGTTTTCACATCACAGCTGTGGACTCATCAATAAATTGGCCCACACTTTGCTCAACTTTTAGCTGCATCCACCGGCAAATTATTATTGCGATGATGTATGTTTTTTTGGCAACAATTTTTTTTACATAGGGTGTTTTGGAAAGAATTTTTTTTTTAATTTTTTTTTAGGTATATCATTTTTTATATTTTTTATTTATAGAAAGATAAAATAGATTAAAAAGTTAAAAGGTTAATTTTTTACTAATTTTTCAAAATACCACATAATTTGGCAAATTATTAAGAATTTTTTGGTGAAATTTTCTTTGGGTTTTTTCCTAGGATAAAAGATGACTTAAAAAATAGTTTTAAAGACTCCACAAAAAAGAGGAGTAGTTTAGAAAGAACATATCATAATTTTTTTTTTTTTTTTTTATGAATAATACTACCCTTATATATATTATATTTAAAAATCTGATCTATATATACACGATCTCATATATTTGAAAATCTAATCAGTGAAGATATCACAAAAACTCAATCTCGAAATCTGAAGATTTCGCCATCGATCAACAATAGATGATTTGATGCCGACGATCTCACCAAATTTGCTTTGATCACGTGTTCTCCGACAATCTCGAAATTTGTATCAATAAGAGCTTTATATTTCAAATATGTACAAATCTGTACCAAATTTTGAGAGTTTTATCAAGATTGAGAGTGTTGATCAAGTTTTAGAGGTTTTCCTTCGATCACATATAATCAGTGAAGATATCACAAAAACTCAATCTCGAAATCTGAAGATTTCGCCATCGATCAACAATAGATGATTTGATGCCGACGATCTCACCAAATTTGCTTTGATCACGTGTTCTCCGACAATCTCAAAATATGTATCAATAAGAGCTCTATATTTCAAATATGTACAAATTTGTACCGAATTTTGAGAGTTTTATCCAGATTGAGAGTGTTGATCAAGTTTTAGAAGTTTTCCTTCGATCATATATTTGATTATTGTTCGAGTTTGATAATCTGTTGATTAGGTTTTTTTTTTTTTTTTTTTGATCAGTTATTGATTAGTTGTTTCTGTTTGATAGAAAAAGAATAAAATTTTACTCTAGTACTATGTGCTCTGTTTTTGTTTGGGAGTACAATTTTATTCTGGTTTTATGTGCTCTGCTTTTTGTTTGAAAGTAAAATTTTACTCTGGTACTATGTGCTCTGTTTTTCTTTGATAAAATGAGAGTAAAATTTTATTCTTGTATTATGTGCACTGTTTTTATTTAATAGAATAATAGTAAAATTTTACTCTGGTATTCTGTGTTTTTGTGACTTGTTTTTGGACTCGTAGTAACAATAAAATTTTACTTTGATTAACGGTAAATTTTTATTGTCAATTGATTGCAGATTTGAAAAATGGTTGCAGCTCTTATGTTGTTATGCAAGTAGATCTAACATTATTGATGATGAAATGGATTTACTTCATATGTTTTGTCGCCATGAAAAAAAGACTTTTGCTATCTTTTGGATGGGTGAATGAAATTACTTATGTAGGTCAAAGATTTGTTGGAAGTGCAAACGATTTCCGGACTGCATTATGTAAATATGCCATTGAGATGGGATTTGAGTTTGTGTATGTAAAGAATGACAAGTGTCGGGTTACTGCTGTGTGTTCAATAAAAGACATTTTTAATATGTTATTAAATGGTTGTCTATCCAAGTTTATAATTTGTTTTGTGGTTGAATTTGACATTTTAATGTATATATTTTTTTTTTATGTAGTTGGATTAGTTTCATATAAAGGAACTTATAGTGGAGTTTGTTAACATGAAAGTTTTGAGTAAAATTATAGTCTAAATGATAGTAAACATTACTTTTCTTAACATCAAAGTGAAATTTTACTCCTATTCAGAGTAAAATTTTATTATTTCAGAGTAAAATTTATTCTGAATTGAAAGTAAAATTTTACTATGTTAGAGTTTGTTTAATAGGAGTGAAATTCTAGTATAAAGATAGTATATAAACATTAGTTTTCTTAACATGAAAGTAAAATTTTACTTTATTTCAGAGTAAAATTTACTCCAAATTGAAAGTAAAATTTTATAATGTTGTTGAATGTTAGTCTTTGTTTTCTGAGGTGAGAGTAAAATTTTACTCTTATTGCAGAGAAAAATTCTAGTTTAAAAAATAGTAAACATTACTTTTCTTAACATGAAAGTAAAATTTTACTCTGAATGAGAGTAAAATTTTACTGTATTTCAGAGTAGAATTTACTCTGAATTGAAAGTAAAATTTTACTTTAAAATATGTGAGTCCGTCCTATAGGAAATCATTTTCAACTTGCACCAAAATTTACAACAATACATAAAGTTCTTATTGCTCATAACGCAATCTTTGTGCAAAAATAATATAACACCACAACTACATATATTATCAAGAGACACAAAACATAAACTGTATAATTGTATTCTATCCATAACAACGTTCTATAACAATATTCCATCCTAATCCATAATAATTATAACTTGTATCATTGTTACTCTTTTAGCATTCTTTCACTTACAATTACTCTTTCAGCATTTTTTCATTTACATAAAAGTAAAATTACATTCATCATTCACATCAGATATACAAAAAAAAATAGTTATCAAAAGTCGTCCACATCATCGTCCTTGAGATCTTATTACTTGGCTATTTTTCTTTTGAGGTCGAACTATTCCCTACTCCATGCTTTTAAAGAATCATTCAAAAATTAATGCACTATTGATGCTTGGAAATTGTTAGTTTTATTCTCTTCCATATATTTTGCAATAGGCTCATCTATCATGATTTGACACATGATATAACATACAATAATTTCGCAATCAACACTGTTAATAGAAATCAAAATCTTGTTAGATTTACTCAAATTTAAAAACTACCAATTCAAGCATGTAGTAGTATGAAATACTTATGATGTTGGGCGTTGTTGTGGACTATCTTTCACGGAAACAAGTTTGCAAACTTTTTTGTAACTTTCTTTCTTTCTCACAAACATTGTAATAAAACAGTAAATTTTTCAATCACTCAAACTCAATACAAATTCGTAAAGCCCATCCTCTCTATCAATCACAACACCATTAATCACAACACTATTTAGACACCATGTGATAGTATCCCAGACCAACCAATAACTTCTTGGAGAAGAGAAAACTCAAAACACACTCTATAGCTTCCCTCTCCCCTTTCTTTTCTCTGATAAAAAAATTAAAATAGATTGTTCACAAACACAATGTGAAATCAGAGGATGAAAAAAGTAATCAATACTTAATTATTAATTAGAATCAAAGACCCTCTGGATTTGTAAGTATGAAATGTTCTCAAAATCTAGAATGGCATGGTTACTTTGTCCATTTTTTTTTTCACTACAAACTGGCTTTCTATTTCTTTTTGGACTTTCAACAAACACCTAGAGTGTCTTCATAAAACAAAACCCATAAATAAAAAATCAGAGATGAGTGAAGGAATCAGCTCTGAAAAAATTAAACAAACAAAATCCCCCCCCCCAAAAAAAATGCTATTTAAACAGTTTTCACAAACATATATATACATACATAAAGATGATCACAAAAAAGGACACACGAAGATTGACATTTCTTTTCTTTTTTTTTTTTTTTATCATTTTTGAAAATTTTTGAAGATTGAAGAGACAACAATAATCATTTCTCACAAATTTCAAACAATCTAAAACAAAGCAAAAAAAGAATCTCAACTAATTTCAAGAAGGCAATTTCGAAAAAATAAATACCTGGAAGCAATTTGAAGTTACTTGATTATTTTCCTCTGCTTAGTCTTCTTCAAGAGTTTGTGAGATGGATTTGAATCACGATTTGAAATCCATCTTCATCAGAATCACGATTTGAATCACGTTTATGAGATGGATTTCAAGGTTTTGATTTTGTGAGATGGATCGAAGATAAAGATCGAAAGGGTTTAGGGTTTAGAAAGAGACACTACTACAAATACAAATAAAGATCACACTTTTTTTGTGTGATGTATGTTTTTTAATCACACCTTTTAAGTTTTATTAAAGTGTGGTCTTTGGGAGTGTGATTAAAAGGGGTCATTTTTAATCACACTTTTTAAGTGTGATTAAAAAATGATTTCATCACATCTTTTAAATGTGATTAAAAACATCTAAATCACATCTTTTAAGTGTGATTAAAAACAATTATATCACATTTTTTAAGTGTGATTAAAAACATTTAGATCACATCTTTTAAGTGTGATTAAAAACATTTAGATCACATCTTTTAAGTGATTAAAAATATTTAGATCACATCTTTTAAGTGTGATTAAAAACATTTAATAACATTTAGATCACATCTTTTAAGTGTGATTAATAACTAATAAAACATGTGATAAAAAAAAATTCGACATATTTGAAGAATAATCAATATTATTTTTGTACGCACATTTAAAGAATGTAATACACACAATATACTATATTTTGAATCACAACCATCTATTGAATGGAATAATGTCCTATATTTCATAAATAAAAGTATATACAAAGGAATTAATAAAAAGTTTTTGACTGTGATTACATATATTAAAAAATGAAAAAAAAAAACTTGAAAAAACTAAGTTCTTGAATTCTTTGACCATATTTTGCATCTCTCCAGAAAATTTCTGACCTGTAAAATAAAAACACAAATTAATTCATAAACCGCTAAAAGCATATGAATAAACTTACTATTTTTGTAGAGACTGTTCTTGTCTTATAAAAGACAAAATCAGAC